TAGAGAATCTGATCCCCCGAGATTCACCCAAATATGGAAAGAGACATGTTGTGCATCTTCATGACATACCTGGGGGAGCAAAAGCGTTTCTATTTGTGGCAAAGTTCTGTTACGATATCAAGACTGAACTCACAGCCATGAACGTGGTCACTCTTAGATGTGCAGCCGAGTATCTCCAAATGGGAGAAGATTATGGAGAAGGAAACCTCATCTTTCAGACCGAAAACTTCCTGATAGAAGTTTTCGGTTCATGGGATGACTCACTCAGAGCCGTTGAAGACTGTGAAGGGGTTTTTCACATTGCAGATGAGATCCACCTTGTCTCAAGATGCATTGAATCATTGGCTATGAAAGCTTGCGCCGAACCAAGATCGTTAACTCGTCACAATAGTCCTACGGGGACCCTGCCTGATGCTACTTCATGGAACGGGTTAGGTTCGGTCTCCAAACCATCTAACGAACGTGATCTTAGTGATGATTGGTGGTATAAGGATGTCTCAGGACTTAAATTGCATATGTATAAGAGGCTAATCTTTGCTGTAACTTCAAAAGGTATGGATCCAAAGAGAATTGCTGGCTCTATAATGTGCTATGCAAAAAGGTACCTTCCATTAGATGGCAGGGCATCCGTAAACATGCCTGTTTCGTCCGAACACGAACAGGTGACTCTTCTAGAAGAGATTGTAGGGTTACTCCCTGATCAAAAGGGAATAATCCCAACCAAGTTTCTTCTTAAGCTCATGAGGATATCCATGATCCTAGGGGCAGACCCATCTTGCCGGGATATACTCGAGAAGAGGATTGGGTCCCAGCTGGATAATGCGGCATTGGAAGATATTCTTATTCCAAGCATTGGATACTCGGCTGAGACCTTATATGACATTGATTGTGTTCAGCGGATTGTTGATTATTTCATGTTGGGGGATTCAGATGAAAGTGATTCGTCCTCGAATGAATTAGTGGATGATCAGCAGTTAATCCCGAGCTCTCGTGAACTAACCCCGACAACCATGGTGGCTAATCTAGTAGACAACTATCTCGCTGAGGTGGCACCTGATGTTAATTTGAAATTAACCAAGTTCCTGTCACTTGCTTCCCTCATCCCAGGCTATTCCAGACCTTTAGATGATGGCATCTACCGTGCAATTGATATTTACCTCAAGGTAAACATTCTGTCCTCTATCTATTCCAGTCATTAACTATGTATATGCATAAGAGCCTTGTATGCTTTATGACTTGACATCATTCAATCCTTATGGTTATTAAGGCTTGACTTAAATCTATGTCAAAAGAGCTTTAGCATTCATATATAATTAGTCGATGTGGAATAATTCCAACTCGAACAAAAATTGTTTTACAATGGCCTGTCTTTATCTCCATCAAAGTACCATCTGCCTCAACTTTTTGGCATTTATATTTACCTCAAGGCATCATCCTTTTTCAATTTATGTAATTGTATGCATAGCTACACTGTAGTCAATTTTATATGCATGACCGTCTTTCTGATAGCAAAATGCTTAAATCAAAGAGATGCGTTTGTCGAAAGAATCGCACCATTTTACAATTAGCTTGACATAATTCATGTATGGTAATATATATAATCATATATAATATTAATTAATAAGATTATTTATGATGATGTTAAGGATATGGGACCTAGTTTTATTAGTATATGTTTTCCTTCTTGTCAAGTGATCTTCGAATTGTGTTCTTCAAGGATAGTTGTTTTTATGCCTGACAGTTGTGTTTGGTAATGTTTCCTCATACTTCTATCTCAAATGCTTTGAACCATGAATTTATTAAGGGATAAGGGTCAGATAGGGTCTCGAACTCGAAAAAAAATGTCAAATAAGGTCATATTTCGGATGCTCTGTCTGGCCGACGCCATTTGGGGCGGTTCCCGATGGAATTTTTTGATGAAATTTTTTGAGCATCTTCCTCATTAAGTCTAGTTTACCCATACCAAATTTCAGCTAAAAATTCAACCGGGAAGGTAGTCAAATAATTTTCCGAAATGTACGGCGTTGTTTAACTTCACAGTTATCTTCAAAAACTCATTTGACTACCTTCCCGGTTGAGTTTTTAGCTGAAATTTGGTATGGGTAAACTAGACTTAATGAGGAAGATGCTCAAAAAATTTTATCAAAAAATTCCATCGGGAACCGCCCCAAATGGCGTCGGCCAGACAGAGCATCCGAAATATGACCTTATTTGACATTTTTTTTCGAGTTCGAGGCCCTATCTGACCCTTATCCCATTTATTAATGATAATTAGTTTACTCTTCTTTCCATCATTTTCAATGGAGCCAAAGACTCACTTTCTTTTGGCTTGGGAATTTGATGGAATTTAGCAAAATGGCTCACTAAACTGTCTGCACTTCTTTTTTATGAAGTAACAGTCAGTCTATGCAATTTTCGACGCGATTTTCACTATGGGTCATTTGGAAACAGTCTCTTTGTGCTTCAGTATAGGGATAAGATTGCATACATCCGACCCCCCCTTACCCCCACCGCAGGTGGGAGCCTTTGCGGCACTGGGGTGATGATAGAGAGCAGGGAGAGCAGGGGGCTGTGTGAAAGAGAAGGGTCCGAGACCCAAGGGCTGTCGGTTTACACCAGGCGGTTTAAGTTATTATAATTGATAATAACTCTATTCATATTTTTAATATTTTTAATAGAGTTTTAGTCTTATTAATCTAGCCTCTCTAAAGCTATAATTGTCCAAAAAGATTGAATCCCCAACCCCAAGGCACCCCTAGCCTCTCTAGTTCTAGTATTATAGCCTCTCTAAAGCTATAATTGTCTATAAATAGACCAAACTAGACTTAACCCTCGTTTCACGAAATTGAGATTCTCAATAGTTTTCTAAGAGTTAGAAATCTCTCTCTCAGTCCACATGGTTAAAATCCCTCCATAATCCCTTTGTAATACAAGTTTAGATCTAAATCCATGTGCTTAAGACTATATCATTTCTCATTTTTATTAATATACGGTAATACGGGTTATTACTGAGACAATGTTACGCAATGAGTAATTCAATTGCTGAATCCTCAAAGAATTTTCTGCATTTATATTTAACTAACTAATGTGAGATAACAACACGACTGTTCTAATGGTAAGATATTGTGTGAGGAGTCTGATGACCTGTTTTTCTCCAGGCACATCCATGGCTAACAGACTCAGAAAAAGAGCAACTATGCAGGCTGATGAACTGCCAGAAGCTCTCATTGGAGGCCAGCACGCATGCTGCACAGAACGAGAGACTGCCGCTCCGCGTTATAGTCCAAGTTCTGTTCTTTGAACAGCTTCGCCTGCGTACGTCTGTGTCTGGCTGGTTCTTCGTCACAGAAAACCTTGAGAATTCGCAGGATCTAAGCAGAAACATAGGACCGAGGATTGAGAGTGGGACTCATGAAATCTCGGTAAACAACCCGATTGTCACCGTTGATGAAATGAGAACTCGTGTGTCCTCACTGGAGAAGGAATGCTTGGGCATGAGACAAGATATTCAGAAGCTGGTGAAGAACAAAGGGAGCTGGAACAGTATATTTAAAATGCTTGGTTTGAGGCTGAAGACGACAACAAGGTCTGGCAGTGATCATCATCATCCTAAGACTGTGAAGACGCCTTTGAGTGCCAAAATGTTTAGGAATTCTAGAAAGGCGGGTTCAAATGGAAAGCAAATAAAGGATAATAATGTTGATGGTGATAAGACTATACAGTCTCAATCTTGAGAAGGAATTATAGAGTAATAGTATATTGTAGTAATTATTATGGAGTATTCTGTTTTGGCTTACCTGGTCCCTCTCTCCATCACGGTAAATGACCAGAAATAGAAAGTCGGGTTCTCACAACTTAACCAGTTTTATGCATTAGAGATGTTGGGACTGTAAACTGTTTTGCATTCATAGAGAGATTCACTAATATAGTTACCTTCACACTTATCATATTCAAGATTTCAAGGTAACTATTTCAATTCAGGACTCAGTTGACACTCCCATGACCCAGTGTTTTCATCATTAGCTCATGAGATCAAATTGCCATTCCCTCACCTCATTTATTCTATCCAATTTGTTCTGCCAGTGTCACTGTGTGAAGGAAGATAAAGAGATTTAAGCTCTACATTTTGGAAAATAGCACTCCATAATTTCTATTTACATGTTTTATATATAAAAATGAAATGATGACATGTTTTATATATGAAAATGTGAAAATAAACTTGCATGAATCCTAAAAGAAGAGTAAAACTACTAGTACAGATTTTTTCTGGACTGAATGAGTTCTATTTAAAAACAACAAGGTTAGTTATATTTAACTAAATGACTTTTCTTTAGTCCTATAATGACCAAGAACTGCAAGCTTGTCGGATGAATTGGTCACATAAAATCTACAAACATAATAAATGTTTAATATGGGATAATATTATACGGTTTTGTGTTTCCTTTATATTTCATATTCCCTCTTTATCCCTTAAAATTTCAACTTTGACTTACACCTCAAATAAGAGTAAAAATTGTACAAGTCATATCTTTGTAGAGAAGAGACAAACTACATTAAACAATAGGGAAAATAAGTATGTCATATGTTAGTGGCATCATCAAGATATGTAAAATCATGAACAATTTACAAACCATTTAAGATGGGAAAACTCTTTGTGGGGATGTCCGTCTAAAACTTGGTTTCCTCTGGACGAAGGAAAGGAAGAGAAAGAAAAATGGATTCTTACGAATTGGGACGACAAAAGAGAGAAATGAAAGACAGATGATTATTGTGCTGATAACGTGTTGTGGACACATAAAAACGATATTTTCACTAACATATAACATAATACATATACAAAAAGGGGTTAGAATTACACTAATGAGGTGAGTTAGTACATGCGAATTTGGGGGTAAACAGACATACACATAATAATTACGAAGTATTTGTTATTAATTTTTCACAAAGGTCTTAACCTACTTCCTGTTTGTTAAGAGTTTCTGGTTCGATCCGGGAACGACTCACAAACGGGTCTGTCCGAGGCTCAGTTATGCCACCGGGTTGCAAATCGCAATATCCTATCCGGTGCAAGATAGTGAACATAGCACCAGTATGTTAACTTGCGCACTTCCAAATTTCCACTGAACAAAACCCAATTCTCGAAACACCCCATTTGGGCATGGCTTCTCCTTCTCCGGTCTCTGCTGTGTGCGTCCAAGGCTCCCCTGATGCTCTTAAAGGTTCTACTGATTAACTGTTATCTGAAACTACTTTTATCGTTTTGTTTTCGCGGGAAGGACTTCAATGCGGTTTCGTTTCCATATCTAGGGTTTTAGTTTCGTGTTGCTGCCTCCTTGTTCAATCCTGCGTTTATGACTCACCTAGATTTTTAACTGTATTTGGTTATGATTCTGTATCCTGTTCGGCTATGAAGAATGTGGAAATAGCCCAATGGCTCAAGGGGCTACCACTGGCGCCCGAATTTCGCCCCACAGATACTGAATTTTCTGATCCTATTGCCTACATTTCTAAAATCGAGAAAGAAGCTAGCTCTTTCGGTATATGTAAAGTGATTCCTCCGTTCTCTAAGCCTTCTAAGAAATATGTGCTCCATAATTTGAATAAGTCGCTCACAAAGTGTCCAGAGTTGGGTTTAGATGTAAAGGCTTGTTCTGATAAAGGGAATGGACAATTTGGGGAGTCTAGGGCAGTGTTTACTACCAGATGTCAGGAATTGGGCCAGAGTGAGAAGAAGAAGAAGATGAATATGAAGGGGATGTCAGGGAGTCTGTCATTTGGAGCTCAGAAGAAGGTTTGGCAAAGTGGAGAAGTTTATACACTGGAAAAGTTTGAAGCAAAATCAAAGTCTTTTGCTAGGAAACAATTAGGCACAGTTAAAGACGTTTCACCATTAGTTGTTGAGACAATGTTTTGGAAGGCAGTTTCTCAGAAGTCAGTTTATGTGGAGTATGCTAATGACGTGCCAGGTTCAGGTTTTGGCGAGCCTGAAGGAATTTCCAATATTTACAGGAAAAAGAGGAGGAGGAGGAAGAGGGAAGTGTTTGATCGAAGCCACACAAAAACTTGCGATAACAAGAAAGGTCTTCTTGATAGTACTAGTATCGATAAACAGTCATTTTGTGTTAGTCCTGATATATGTAAAGTCTCATCGTCTGATTACTCCGCATCTTCCCAACCTAATGGTTTGCGTGATAGTAATGATGTGGAGGGCAGTGCTGGATGGAAACTATCAAACAGTCCATGGAATTTACAAGTCATAGCTAGGTCACCTGGATCACTAACCCGCTACATGCCGGATGATATTCCCGGTGTTACGTCTCCTATGGTCTACATTGGTATGTTGTTCAGCTGGTTTGCATGGCATGTTGAAGATCATGAGCTTCACAGCTTGAATTTCCTTCACACGGGATCCCCAAAAACTTGGTATGCAGTGCCGGGTGACTATGCATCAAAGTTTGAAGAAGTTGTGCGAGTTCAGGCTTATGGAGACAGTACTGATCCATTAGGTATGTGAATGGTTTCTATTGAAGTGTAAAACATTTAGCAACTTCATAGATTCAGAATATTTCAATGACAGTTTTTAGGATTCCTGAGATTGGAAGAATATCTTTTTTTATTTAACATCTCATCATAGTTCATAAATTTAAATCCATGAATACCACACTTGCAATGCTGGTACATAGTAGTCTTAGATGTTAGCACTCATCAAACCACATGCTTCATGATTCTGGACCCTCTTAATAATCTTCATTTCTTTGGGAACAAAACTCCTATTTTATATTTATATAACAAGATGGGAAGTTGATGTCCTTTAATATTGAGAGTCCGTGCTTGGAATTATACTTGCATTTGTCATTTGCATAAGATTTCTTGATACAGCTATGTAGATAGTGGTAACATGACATCCCTGAACATTTCAACTATTTATCAGGGTAAGTTTACAAAGTTGATTTTCTTAGGTCGACACTTCATGTGTAAAGCTGTAGTATTGGTGACAAAATTCTCACTGGAAACATGTTTTCATCAGTTTAAGTTGTAGTGTTGATTTTCTTAGGCCGCAACACGACATGTTTTCATCAGTTTGCTTGGTAATCTGCAGCTGCTCTTACTCTATTGGGTGAGAAGACTACTCTTCTATCACCTGAAGTAATTGTTTCATCAGGCATACCCTGTTGCAGGTGGGCCGCTATTATCTACCACTATTTCCATATGTGGTTACACTTTAAACTTATCTTGCTGATGAGACAATTTGATGTTCTTGGAGATGGATTTTGTGGCTCCAGCTGTATAATTTTTCATCCCCTTGTTTGTCATTGTTTCACTATCTACAATAACCTTTTTTATATAGGTTAGTGCAGTACCCTGGCGAGTTTGTGGTCACTTTTCCAAGAGCATACCATGTAGGGTTCAGTCATGGTAATTGCTTTTACTCTGTTTACATATTGGATTATTTCTTTTTTTTCTTCAAATCATCATCTTATCTTCCCATTTTACATCTTTAAACTAAGTATTCTAGATCATGGATATGCCAAATCCATTTGCAATGTCAACTTTTCTCCAAACCCCATGTAGGATTGTAGTTTAACTGAAGCTGATATACTTTTAACTGTGGTTAGCTACTATCAACAGGCTCTTGATCTTAAAGAGCTTGTGGATTTAGTTTCCTATTAACAGGTGTTTTTAGGCCATGAATGATGTTTATTGAGTTTTTAAACCATTATGTTGTTATTTCAAATGTGCTGATCCTAACCCTCTGTCTCTATACGAACCATTCAGTGATTTACATCGTTTGGTCAATAACAACAACACTGCTTTTGAGATAATAATCATGTGTCATTGAAATGCATACAAATATTTAGTGATGTTATGTCAATTTATTTACTCTTAATCATTGAATTCATTTTTTTATTTCTCTGAAATCAGAACAGACAAAATTGTTTTAACCATTCCATTCACATTTTTTTCGCATTACTTGCATCAAGTTTTGTGTTAACCACTAATAGTTGTTTTGTCATACTTCACTTTCTCTTTTCAGGTTTCAATTGTGGAGAGGCTGCTAACTTTGGAACTCCTCAGTGGCTCACAGTAGCTAAAGATGCTGCAGTTCGTCGAGCAGCCATGAATTATCTTCCCATGCTTTCTCATCAGCAGTTGCTATACCTGTTGACCATGTCTTTTGTTTCAAGGTCAGCCTGTAAGCTTTCATTTCACGTTTAAGGATACACTTCTCAAAAACAAAATGAAGATTAGAAATTCATAAATAATTACGAGTGTTGCAGTTTCTTCTAGATGGTGAAGTTTGGATAATTTTTTCTTTAAATTCTTTCTACTTGAAATCCTAGTGCCTCTTTAGTTTTATCTATTTGGTTTTCGCCAAGGCAGTATCACTCTCATACACCGTACCGTCCGTACCCATCAATATTGGCTATGTTCTAGCTGTGTAGCATATCTTGATATCAATGGGTCCAAATGGTATTAAGCCTCTGATACTTGCATTCTCAACAGTTGAGAAGTTGATCTTTGTGTCACTTTTATAATGTTTTCATAGAACTGAGAATATAAATATGGATAAACCTGTTTTGTGGAGTTACTCACTCAACAAAGGAAGGGAACCCTGATCTATTTAGTTTGATACATATTAGGTTCTTTATAGCCTTTGATTGTTGAGTGTTCTTCAAACATTGGACAACAGAGTGCCAAAGTCATTGCTACCTGGGATGCGAAGCTCTCGCTTGAAAGATCGTCAGAAGGAAGAAAGAGAGACTTTGGTGAAGAAAGCATTTGTGGGAGATGTCCTAAAGGAGAATGAGTTAGTAACCATTTTACTACAGAAAAATTCCTCTTACCAAGCAGTGTTGTGGGATGTGGATATGTTGCCATCTGCAAGTGAACGATTTGAGTCGCAAAAGTGTGTCGGTACTGATTTAACAAAGAAGTGTAGTGATCAAAATGATAACAAGTACAACAGCCAGGATATTTTAAACAAAATGAACTCATATTTGGAAAATTCGAGTGATTTATGTGCGGAAGATGAGGATTTATCAAATGAATTTCAAATTGATACTGGAGCGTTGCCTTGTATAGCTTGTGGGATACTGGGTTTTCCTTTTATGGCTGTTGTACAACCATCAGAGAAATCAATAAAGAACTTCTACTCAGAGGATTTTCATACAATACAATGCATGGGAGAGCTGAAATCTTTTGAACGGCGTTCCCATTCGCAACGGGATAGCATAGTATTTGGCGATGTTGCAGGTATATCCATTAATACTGCTCTTATATTTTTTTTTGTATTATTTTCATTGATGATAAAATAGTTGCTGCCTTGCTGGCCTTATAGGCATTTCCCATTTTAAGATAATAAAAAATAGATAAAAATCATTTAATGGTACCTACCTGTTGCATCCGTGCACTGACAAGCTTGTTTTGCTACTTGGTTTCTGGAAGAGACTTCCAGCTAAGAATATACATCCATCCTTTCTCTAAGGAGATAGTGGATATCCAAGAAATGCCAAGTTTCAGGAATTTCTCTTTTTCAGATTCTCAATCTGACCTAATATAACCCCCAACCTGTAATTGCAAGTTCCCACCCGCAGGGTCCTGGTTACATTTTCTAGCTCTGAAGTTGTCTTAGCTCATGAAATGGGACACCTTACTTCAATCTTTGTCTAAGAGGCCAATTGTGGCGCCCACTCCTTCTAGTGAAGGGCGGTACTCTGAAAGCTATTTGGACCTGCCTACTGTATCTGCCTTTTCTACATTGCTTATAGTTGAAGTTGAGACATTCAATTACATATTAATCTGTCCATCTTATAAGGAATTTTGAATTAATTTGCTGATTTGCTCATTGTCCACTTGATATATACTACGTATTTAACACTGACATTGCTTCACCTTGCTCATTTTTCCATTTGTGTGCAGTAGACAGGTCAATGCCACCTGAAAGGCTTCTCCTTCACCCTAAACGAGTGTCTTGTGCTGAATCAGGAGAACCTACTGCATCTCAAATGAAGGGTCAACTCCCATTAGCTGGCCCTTTATCTGCAAGTAATCCATCTGTCGACCTTGAAGACAAATGGGATACATATAATACATTTTTAAGGCCACAAATACTTTGCATTGAACACGCGATTCAAACTGAAGAGTTGTTGCATAGAAGGGGCGGGGCAAAAATTCTTGTTATGTGCCATTCAGGTGAGAATAACAAACTGTTGGATCTCTAAATTCAATCCAAAACAGGGAAGAAATTTAATAACCCTTCGTCCTAAAAACAGGGTTATAAGGTACAACTTTTTACTTTTTACAAGTTTTTACAAGTTATGAATTGTACCCAAGAAAATTATTTCCAAAACTGGAGCAATTGACCATAGCAGCTTGCTACTTCGCTTCAGAAGAATTTAAATTCAAAACTAAACTTGGCTTTCAAAATCAAACTCTTTTTTCTGAAGGACGGAGTACATAACTGTTTGACAAGATGTCTGTGACTATTTATTCGTGCAGACTTTCAGAAAATAAGGGCTTATGCTACATTTATCGCAGAGGAAACAGACACCACATTTGTCTATAACGAGATTGTCTTAGATAATGCATCTAAGGAACATCTTCAGTTGATAGATCTTGCAATTGAAGATGGAAACCGTGAATGTGCTGAAGACTGGACATCAACACTACATATCAATTTACTGCATTCTATGAAGAAGTTGAGTAAAAACAACAGTGAAACAGCTAAGAAGTTAGAGTATGCGCTGATTTTGAGTAGGCTATTCCCCGACACAACAACCTCCAGTACGAAGTGTTTGGGTTACAAATGGGAATCCAGAAAAGTACGCTCTAAGAGAAGATCAAATTCCAAACCAGCAAATAAAATATGTGTGCCTTCAAAATTTGAGGAGAAATGTTTGGAATCAAAATTAGACAATACTCGAGCATCCAGAGAAGAAACAATAGCTGTCCAGTATACTAGGAAAAGATACAAGTTAAAACCACGCGCTTCTGTAGAAAGTGATATTTTCATTCCTCATGAGATCTCCAATGCTAATGAAAAACTGGAGAATCTCATTCCTCAGATGCTGGCAATGGAGGACCAAAGCAGAAATTCACACAGAAATGATTCACCCGATGTTACCAGTTATGTGAAAAGCCCATGTGAAGGACTAAGGCCAAGGGCAGCCAAGAAAGAGACATCAGCGTGTGCAAGTGATAATAATACTAAGAATTATTTCCAGGATCAAAGGAATGGAGGACCCTCACACAGGTGTTACATTGAAGGGTGCAAAATGAGTTTCAAGACAAAGAGAGAGCTGTCCCTTCACAAACGTAATCGGTGTCCAGTCAATGGTTGCGGGAAGAAGTTTAACTGTCACAGATATGCCGTACGTCATCAACGTGTCCATGAAGAAGATAGGCCCCTGAAATGTTCATGGAAAGGTTGCAGCATGTCTTTTAAGTGGAGTTGGGCAAGGACTGAACATTTGCGTGTTCACACTGGGGAACGACCTTACAAATGCAAGTTTGAAGGATGTGGCCTCTCTTTCAGGTTTGTGTCAGATTTTAGCAGGCATAGGCGTAAAATGGGACATCATAGCAGCTAATTAATCCACTACGTCAAAAGAATGGTTTTGTCTCAATAGGTTGGTTTGGTATAAGTTCGCTACCCTCCATTTCCAAAGAAAGGGTGGGTCGCCTTATTGTGAAACCTCTGTAGGTTTTGATATGTACCAGACTGATTATAGTTTGATTTCTTTAGGATGGTTCATCTTTGTAAGAAGATTGATCGTATTCCTACTTGGGTACTATTGTCTTCTGTTGTGACGTGAAAAAATAATAGCTCAGTGTAAGTAGATGATGTAATATTAGCAGATCAGTTTGTCCATTTTTAGTGTGTTTAAAAGAGTAGATCAGTTATCAGTAGATGGGCAACTGAGCAAGATAGCCATTTTTTTACAATAATAAGGCATTAAACAAGAATAATACACAGCCGGTTCCAGAGGATACCTACTTTCTTGCATTATAAATAACACTCACGCACACACATATAAATATGCTACTATATAATAGAATTGGTAGAAGACCATGCGAGGACCCAGGGACAAATTTTAGTAAAATGAAACACCCTGGAAGCAGTCTTGATCATGCGAGGAAAATTCCAAGGCTAGAATAGTACTTGAGCTAGGAGATGGAAAAACCACCCATAGGAGCGGTCTAGAGCATCACTCGAGTGTTAAGAACATCCCATAGAGGGCATAGATCAAAGAAGTAGGCTCATAGAGAAATAGGAGTCTCTGGGCAATGTGGTAATCGATGAGAGACCGAGTTGGCTTCCCTGTAGCAGTGGCGAAAGGAGAGTCGGTCGTTTGGGTGTTCACAAGAATTTTTTAGATGATCGTTTTGAGTCTGCCCGGTCACTGGTGGTTTGGTGGAGGATAAGAGGGAAATCACGGGTAGGGAGTCAGATTCAACTATGAAACTGAAGTATCCAGCTTGAGTGGCCCATTAAGCCGTGATGGGTAGCTTTGAGTCGGCTTCTAAAAGACTAAAACGGAGAAAGCATTGAAGGACAAACAACTCTAAATTGGCCTTCTGAGTTACACATATTTGCTTCGCCGGATGATTTGGCAGGTAAGCGTGACGCATCCACTTTGAGTTCGATGCAATTTCTTGGCCTTTCCCATTTAACTGAGATTAATCTATGTGTGATGGCCATGGTCTTGGGGATAAGATGTTCCTTAAAAAGAAGCTCAGTAGGTCTAGAGCTCTTGGAGATAATAAGACCAGATGACCAATTAATAAAATAAGCTTTGATTTAAAAAAATCAAAATGACTCGCTAAACCACCTATGTTTTTTGTTATGAAGCATCTATCACAGTATCACTCCATGCAATTCTCGACGTGATTTTTATCATGGATCATCCGAAAATAGTCTCCATGTGCTTTATTATAAAGGTAAGATTGGGTATACATATGATCCCTTCTAACCCCACCGTAGGTAGGAACTAGGCATGGCAATGGGTCGGGGCGGGGCGGGTACTGCAAGACCCAGACCCGCCCCGTGACCTGCACGGGTCCAAACTTGTTGACCCATGACCCGCCCCATGCGGGGCGGGGTGGGTCCGCCCCGCCCCGCCGTAACCTAATTAGCTAGTATGTATTTTTATTTGTGGGAAGTTGTTACCAATTGAATTTACATAAAGTTTATCTCTAAATAATAATTAAAAATTAATATATTAAATCAAATTCATGATACGCTAAAAATTTCAAAAATTAAGGAAAAATTAATCAGACTTGAATAATTAATCTATTTAATTATATTCATCATTAAATATATGTATTAAAATGCTATATATAAAGAAGACATTGATAATCTGTCATTCATCTCATTCTAATATATATTAATATATTATAAAATCAAAGCATTTATGATTTATTGTATACACACATATGTGTGTTGAAAGGTATTTGTAGTAAAATTTAAGAAAAAGTATGTATACTTATATATTGAGCGGGTCGGGGCGGCACTGGTCAATTTTAATACCCGGACCCACCCCATTGTATAGGCGGGGCGGACCCGCCCTATTTGCAAGACGGGGCGGGGCAGACCCGCCCCAAATGTCTCGGGTCAGGGCGGGTCATTGCGGGTCGGTTTTTTTTTACATCCCTAGTAGGAACCTTTGTGACAACGGGATAATGTTGTTGTTAACCATGTTTTGTTATAAAATAAGCTTGAATATAGTAGAAAAATTGGCACACGTATGACAACCAGACTTTTCCTTTCCAAAAGTATGCCCATTTTAGTTTTTCCCTAAAAAGTGACCCGCATCGCCTCTCTTCTCCCTCGCGCGAGATCTGTTTCTCCATCCGCTTCCTTCCTCTTCAACATGGCATGTGAGATTCGTCTTCTCCATCGCGTGAGAAGAGCCAAGCCGCCTAGATCTACGCTCCAAGGTCTTCTCCCTCTCCAGATCTCTTCTTCGTCTTTCTTCTCGCTGCTGATTCCGGATCGTCCAACGTCGGTGGACGAAGGCTCGGATCCGCCGTCCTCGAAGTCGGAAAGGGACCTGAACAGCCGGACCGCCTGTTCTGCCGCTGCTTGGCCGACGCTTTGTGGATTCAGATCTGGGAGGTGGGCGGCTATGGAGGTGGTCTGGCCTCCTAGAGAAGTGTTTGTTCGCTGGGGCCGGGGGCTGTGGAAAGGGGGTTGGGTGAGGCAGGGGAGGGGGCTGGGTGAGGCAGGGGGATTGGGGTGACACAAGGGAGGGGGCTGGGTGAGGCAGGGGGTTGGGGTGACACAGGGGAGGGGGCTGGGGTGACAGGGGAGGGGGCTGGGTGAGGCAGAGGCTTGGGTGTGGTGGTTGCAAACGACTGGAGTTGGTGGCTGCCGGAGGCGGTGGTCGGCGGAGGTAATTGGAGGTGTGGCGACGGTAATTGAGCGGTGCTGGCGGCGATGTCACTATGTCGGTAGCCGGGCGGTCAATATGGTTTTAGTCACTATGCGCCGGAGTCATTGTGCGCCGGAGTCACTGTGCGCCGGAGTCACTGGGCGGCGGTGCAGTCATTGTGGTGGTGGGGCAGTCACTGTGGTCGGTGGGGCAGTCACTGTGGCCGGCGGGGCACTCATTGTGGCCGGCGGGGCAGTCACTGTGGCCGGCGGGGCAGTCACTGTGGCGGTGGGCCAGTCACTATGGCCGTTGGACAGTCACTTGGTCGGAGTCACTTTGGCCGGAGTCACTTTGAATTGCAGGGCAGCATGGGCTAATTTATTGTTGGTCACATTATTGAATTTTTTAAAAATGTTTCACTATTTTGTCTTTTATCCTATTTTTTGTAATATCCAGGCCAAAAGGCCAATATAGTACTCCCTTCGTAATATTTTATCTATTGTATTATCTTGTTTGGATTGTTGTCACATTTTCTTTTTTGAAAAGAAACATGTGGTGTACAACATTTCACTTTATTATACTCAAATTTCAATCACAACTTTTACTTTTTCAACAACTTTATTAATAATTGAGACAAATCCAAGTAGGACACATAAAAGGCGAAGAATGTAGTACTCCCTCCGTCCCATTTAAAGGCTCTCGTCCACTATTCTCCGGTCAAAATGAATTGTTCTTAATCTTTTACTTTATATATCCAACTTTTATCAATTTTTATTTTTCTTGATTGGATTTTAATAAAACTTTTAATGTAGTTTCTGAATATGTAAATTTTATTTACTAAAAATAATCTTATTAACGATAAGAATCGATTAACTTTATGGACAGTCAATCATCGTAAATTGTGTGAAAACTTTTGAGTGGGACAGATGAAGTAATATTTCAAAAAAAAAAACTCACATAAATGATCTAAATGAATAAAGGGAGAAATGACTATGTAGCCTAAAAAGGTACATTAAGTTAGTAACCCCTCCTATTTTTAATAAAATGTGTATACAGCACGATTGTATGAAAATTTGAGAGTTAAATAAATATATATATGTAGAGTACAATTCTGGTCTGGCGCGCCTGACGGGCAGAGCCGTGCGGACTTGTCCGTTTGGGTACCTTCCCGGTGGAATTTTTTTATGAAAGTTTTTGAGCATGTTTCTCATCAAGTTTACTTTATTCATACCAAATTTCAGCTCAAAATTTGATCGGGAAGGCATTCAAATATCTTTTTAAAGCATACTGCGCATTATATGTGCGTAGAATGCGCCATATGTTTCAAGAATTTATTTGAATGTCTTCCCGATCAAATTTTGAGCTGAAATTTTGTGTGGAGAAACTATACTTGATGCGGAACATGACCAAAAAAATTTATCAAAAAATTCCACCGGAAAGACCCCCAAACGGGCAAGTCGGAATGGAAGTTCCTGTTAGACGCGCACAGGCAAGTCCGCAATGGTGAACTTGATTATATAATTCAAAATCTATTGAAATAGCATCAAATTCTATGGATTTTCGATGTCGCTATTGAATATACATAGTTGATAAGTTTCTATGAGAATTAAAAAGTACACAACATACAATTAATTATTTTATGAATAGAATGAGAGTAAATTTAAAATAAATATAAACACAATCTAAACCTTTTTTGAAGCATTATTTACAACAAATGGTAAAAATTTGGGGGGGGAATATCCCCATGAAATGACGGCAACAAGTAATAGAATACCCCTATACATTTTTAATTAGTCATGTTTTTGAAATTCCAAAATATGGAGTAATATTATACCTCGGTGTGATAAAGTATAGGGAAAATTTTCTAAATAAGAGTTAAAAAATTTTGAAATTCTAAAATAAAACTTGTCTTGTTTTTATTTTCTAAATAAAGTAATTTCTACTCGTACTAAATTTAACATTCATCAGACTTTAAACATGATAGATTTTTAAAGAGATATTACCTGAAATAGGACTAAAAAGGTTTGAAAATTCCAAAATAGGACTGCCATATTTTTATTACCAAAATGGGACTAATTACTGTCATGTTTTGGCAGTACCAGACTTCAAACATGGCAGTATTTTCCAAACATGACAGTAATTACTCCTATTTTGGGAATAAAAAACTTGGCAGTCCTATTTTGGAATTTTCAAACTGTTTTAGTCCTATTTCGGGAACTTTCCCTTTTTTAAAACTTGACAAAAAATAGTCTTATTTAGAGTATAAAAACATAAAAGTCTAAATATAATTTCAAATATTTCTACCAATTTGTGTGAAGTATGAATTTTATAAGTTTAAACTATATAGGGTATGTTTGGCAAATGGCTTATCAGACGGCTTTTAGCTTGTTTGACCCATTTCAGCTGTTTGATTGGTCAAAGAAGCTAATAATGATGTTTGGTAAATGGCTTTTAAAATTAGTTTGTTGAGTTTGAAAAGCTGAAAAAATAGATTGTTGAAGAAGCTAAGAGGGGCAGCTTATTCATTCAGCTGGTTCAATTTACACTCTATCAGCCATTTCGAAACAACCAATTTTACCAAACAATTATCTATAATCAGCTAACATAA